CCATGTTATTATAATTTTTTTTCACGATCAAGAAACGCATCCTGTGTCTGAGGAATTCCTTTACCGATATTTTGTTACAGTCAAGTAGTCGTTGGCAACGTATACCTGGTATTTTGTTTGGAATGCTGTGTGGACAAAGCAAAGAATCATAAGACTGAACCTAGACAGATAATCGGTCAGACGTGACGACCGACGGCGGCGAAGCCCTATCAACCCTTAGACAACCACCACCACCATACAAACAGGATAACGGTAATACAACACAGGCCGAATACGAGCTGAAGGGGAAGGAGCACGTAGAGGAAACGAGGCAACGAGGTTTTCAAGGCTCAGTCGTCTAGCAGCCGCCGAGCAGGGAAGTCTGTCCACACGTTCGCCGATCGATCTGAATCGAGTTGTCGGAGCATTGTGCCGCGTCGCGTCTCTGTCACTCCTACCACGAAGTAGTTTCGTCAAACAAATACGAGAGAAGTTCCTGGCTCTAGCGACTCGGACTGTTTTCCCAGCCCAGTTTTGTCCATTCCCTGCCCTCGTGAACGTTCGCGACGCTCGACGAAGGATCGATTCCTGAAGCGGCTTGGAGAGGTGAGTGCCCGATTGGACAGATCCAAATTTATGTAATTAGAAGTTAGAATTCAATTCTCGTGAGTCTCCGGAATTTTAGAAAAACTATATACGCGTGGATTTATTTGATTTTATTCGTTTAAAAATTTTCCATTAATTTATACATATATTTTACAAGGTTATTTTACGAGTTATTATTATTTGAAAGGGAAAGAGAGATATTTATATTAATTACGCGAATAATAATGATTTTTATAATAAAAAATGAATAGGCACTGAGATAAGTTTTAAATATCGATATTGACTGTTATCGTCAAGCTAGCTTGTTCTGTCTATATATTTTCACGTTATCTATATTTAAAAGGAAATTGTATAATCGAGAAGAAAAAAAGTCGAGAAAGTAACATCGAAATGCGTTCAAAATAGACAGACCTACTGACGTACCTGTTGGTTTATTTACTGTCAGTCCTTTGCGATGTAACGTCAGGGCGTTGATCCGCAGGATCGATTCTTGTGGGTTCTTGTAAACATTGGAATTATACAGAGAATCAAATGGTCGATTCTAATATTCGTGAGGACATTTTGCTCACACATGTAGTTTTATTGTGTTCTGTACAGAGAACTCATAAGTAGACTGCGGATATGCAAAATACTGAATATTTTGCATAAATTGCATACTTACAAATAGCAATATCAACTATTTTACTTTACTTTTTAATACTCTTTAATGAACAACGATCGATTGCTAGATGCTATCCGATGATTAATGTTCAGTTAAGTATTTTACATAAATATCCGCAATATATTTATAAGATTGTATTTTAAAAGGAGACATATTTTAAGGTCATACACACGACTTTAAATCGATATCTTTAAAACAAACATTCTAACCCAAATATAATTTGAAAGTTAAGTATAGAACTATATAAAAATAATTTGTCAGTATGTTGCGAGAAAAGATAACATATGTTCAAATTTTTTATTAAAAACAAATCATATTAGAAGGAAATCACATTGTGAAATTCTAGAGCAAAAATTCTTTTTCTTTCGTATTTAAATTTTTACTGAAAACAAATCATATTAAAAGTGAAGTTATATTGTATAAATAATCAGATTCCTATAAATTCCTTTTTAACAAATTTGATTAGTATAAGAATTTTGATTTAATAGAAAAATAAAATAATGTAAAATCTCAAAAAACACATAAAAGTGCAAACATCGATGAATATATTATTTTAAATATAATTCTCATCGGAAATAATTCTAGAATCTATGACAATTTAGATTTAGTATTATCAAGTTATCAGATAATAAGGAGAAAAAAATTTATCATCAGTTTATTAGTCATGATTTAATTGCGTTCAGTAGTTATTTATCAAACAATATTGACATAATATAATTGGCAATATAATTCTACAATGTTTACATTTAAATTAAGTGTTGAATCTCATAGCTTCAATGAATTCGATTTTCAATACCGACAAAGTTCTCATTGTCGCACGCTTTTCTTATTATATTGAAATTTGGAATTTATATATCGATTTCACATCGACCCATGTGTGTGTGGGTGCGTGCGTGCGTGCGTGTGTGTGTGTGTATGTTGGCGCGCGCGCGCATGCGTGTGTAGTACGGATTATCTCGTTATAATTAAGTTTTAATGACTGTTCCTATTATACAAAATTAAGTTGAATTGAGATTGGAATTAATCTACATTAATAGAAATAGATATAAATCTACGATGCTTATACTTAATTTGTTTCGACCGACAGCAATGCAACTGCTTCCTCGTGCAATCGCAATAGACGACTTTTACGACCTTTATTCCACGAAGTAACGATCAACCTGTCTCTCGATGATGTTACAAGAATCTTGTAGAATGACAGGATCGATGCAGCAACATCGCATCGGGTTTACGCAAAGCAGTGGAGAGGCAAACGATTTATTTTCTTCGTTATGTTTTCTTGCAAAAGAGATTTTAAAAAAAAAAAAGTAGCTAACTCGGTTCTACATCCTGACTTCATATGAAGCCGGTACATACTAAGCCGGTACTCATACGAGGCCAACGCTTCCTTTGTTCATCTATATGTATGACTAATCTAGAAGATTTGTTTAACTTCAATGTGTTGATGCAATTTTAAACGCGTAATGGCGTAATTATAATCCACCTACATCTATGAGTCGCAGCTACTCTTATGGATGCAATCAACACTTAATTCAAGATTGAACTCTTCCTACGATTTTAATGAAAAATTAAATTTCTTTGCTTCAGTATAAAATAAAATTGAAAATAATTTTAAAGAAAAATAATTTGTAAAAGAGAGATAAAGAAGTGTAAAATAAAATTGGACAATGATAGATGTGCTTACAAATTCGAAAAGAATTAATCTAAATATTTCATAATAATAATTCGTTTAAAAAGAATAAGACGATTTTCTTTTCTAAAAGGCTGAAGTCTTTGTGCTCGTGCAGCGCATCGCTTTCACAGAGTTAAGTGCGTATTGGAAGACTCCTCGAAATGTTAAAGAAAGCTGCATATTATTGTGCACCGACTCTTATTTCGAGAATTTGTAGAATTTTCTTTAGTTTTTAACATCCGCTAATAAAGTGTCATTTGCAAGATGATAGATCGTTCTCCATAACAATTACGGTGTTTGCTGCGCCGCGAAATGTTTCTTGCACCGCGACACGCATAAATTATCCGCTAACCAATTCTTTCCTCTTTTGCATAAGAAGAAAAAAATAGCGAGTAAAACTGCCAGTTACTTTTGCTTTTCTCGAGAGAGAATCATGTGAGATTATATCACGAATAAGAATCAGAAGTGTCATCCGTTTATGTGATTAGATGCGAAATCATATAAATCTGATTAAATCATCATTATTAGTGAGATTTTATTTTTAAATAAACGTGCTTAAATCTATCGATTAAAAAGTTGTTACCATTTTGTGACTGCTCTATTTTATTCTTGTTCAGTTTTATCCTTCGTCATGCAGTTGAATTCCAAACACAATGGTTTCTTGGTTTATTGGCGCTAGGAAATCGTTGGAAGTTATGCGGGATGAAAGTCGAATAAAACGCGCGCGCGTGCGAGCAATTTAGATGAAATCGTCGGTTATTTGACAGACGCTGGGCTCGATTCTTCTGGAACCCATGGCGATCGTTAGTCATCGTAGAAATATACTGATGGTCATCCGTGCTAGAGCGTAGAAATCATTGAAACGAGGCACAATCCGTGTGAACGCTTGTTTGCTTGGCTCGAGTTGCATATAAGTCATTTCCTGCGAATAACTATATAAAAAAAATTTATAATGGTCGAGAAAATGAATGACAATTAATGATAATCATGCGAAATTTGTGATTTCATTTCTCTATATGATCTTATTTTATTGTAATCTAATTTAATAATTGAAGAAAAGAAAGACAGAAGAATGTACGAGAGAGAGAGAGAAAAAGAAAAAAAGTGATTAAAAATGCTTATCTTGCAGTTTCATGATGCGCAAGGAGAAAAATCGGTTTTGCATCCGACATAGAAAGTCACTGTTCGCACAGTGCATTAACCACAAAATTGTTTCATCGCGCATCGCCGTGACCGAGATATTGAGTAGTTTTTTTTTTTTTGTTTAAATGTGATAAGACAGTTGTGTGAAACAATGCTGGACAGAGTACTTACTCAAAAATCTTTTGTAACTTGTAATCAGAGTTCGACAAGAAAAACCCTTATACATAATAATGATGCTCTAAATACATTTACATAACAATTAGAAGGAAATTTTTTATGTTATAACGTAATAATGTTATAGTTTTAATAATATGAGCAGTAATGTAGTGATTTAATTTCAGGCTTAAGATGTTGGTTAACGTTGAACAGAGTTGACGAGGGCCTACTTGTAGGGAAACGCCTACTTAACTAGCGCTAATCAGCAGGAAGGAGAAGAAGCTAAAAGAGATACGCGTGGCGACCAAATAGTAGTTCGATTGAGAACAAAGAGACACGATGGATCCTTATTCATTGAGGTGAGAATATATTATTCATATAAGTTTATTCCCGTCGAAGACATCACCATTACAAAACATCAAGCAGAATATTTATGCTTCGATTGTCTCGCTGAATCGATATTCTCGTCGTTTTTTTTGTGATTTATAGATTCTACACGAAAGTATAATTTTGAGTACCTAAAAAATTAGCTAGATATTGGATATGGAATGAGTAATGCTGCAAAAGATTTTAATTTTCTAACTTATGTCCTTAGTTTGATGGTTTAATGTCCGGTTCTATTAATGTAAGATTAATCAATTTTAATCAATTTTTTTATCTTTTTCTAATTCTAAGAATTCTTACGATAATTCTGAGAAATAGAAAAAAATAAACAGTAAATTGAGACGAGATTAAAATTAATTACATTGGTGAAACCAAGTCAAACAAAATTATTTTTATATCTATATTTAACGAAATTTTTAAATACTTTAGCAAAACCGTTTTTTCGGTATATGATTATAAAAGCGTTTAAAGATGACAAGCGAGACGAACGTAAACTTCGATGATGGATCGAGATTTATTTAGACAATAATCTCGAATTTATGTGAATTCTTTGGATTTCGATAAGAAATACGAGAAATATTTTTTTTAGGTATTTTTCAGAAAAAGGGCTGACAATTGAATAAACACAAAATCCATTTGTACGAGAACGATTCATCAAAAAGCTTTGAATAAGATCGTACAAATTTTTTCTGTTCTTTGTGTTGAGGCATTCCTTTGTCTCTTCCTATTTTTTGTACATAATATGGCATACACATGGCAGAAACTCTAAAGTACATAGCTGTTCTATGTACTTTGTAAATATATTTTTCAATATGTCTTCAATATGTCTTCAATATGTCTTATTGTTATAGAATGTCGTATTGTTATAGAAAAAACAAATCTTAAATATCTAATCTTCCTATTTTTTGTACATAATATGGCATACACATGGCAGAAACTCTAAAGTACATAGCTGTTCTATGTACTTTGTAAATATATTTTTCAATATGTCTTCAATATGTCTTCAATATGTCTTATTGTTATAGAATGTCGTATTGTTATAGAAAAAACAAATCTTAAATATCTAATCTTCCTATTTTTTGTACATAATATGGCACACATATGGCAGAAACTCTAAAGTACATAGCTGTTCTATGTACTTTGTAAATATATTTTTCAATATGTCTTCAATATGTCTTCAATATGTTTTATTGTTATAGAAAAAACAAATCTTAAAATATCTAATCTTCCTATTTTTTGTACATAATATGGCATACACATGGCAAAAACTCTAAAGTACATAGCTGTTCTGTGTACTTTGTAAATATATTTTTCAATATGTCTTCAATATGTCTTATTGTTACAGAAAAAACAAATCTTAAAATATCTAATCTTCCTATTTTTTGTACATAATATGGCACACACATGGCAGAAACTCTAAAGTACATAGCTGTTCTATGTACTTTGTAAATATATTTTTCAATATGTCTTCAATATGTCTTCAATATATCTTATTATTATAGAAAAAACAAATCTTAAAATATCTAATCTTTATATTAGTTTAGGTATTGAGTATTTTTTACACATTTTTTTTTATAAATTTCTTAGAAATCTTTTTTTGTTTATGGAGAAAATAAACCTTTAATTAAGGGATATTTTCATAGGTTCATCGCATTTGTTAATGATAGATACGATTGTCCAATGGACTATTTCAATGGACTATTTGACCGTCTATTAAAGTTAATAGAAATTGGTCGAAATAGCCCTTAGAAATATATTATATAATAATTTACTGATATTTCACTTCAGTGGAAATGATGAAATTTGTTAATTGAAGTGAAATATCAGTAGATCACTACTATACATAAAAAAGACACACCTCCAAATAATCAATATATCAATAAACTCAAATATTTTTATAAGTATTCTTTAGAAAATTTAGGAGATTTATCTTCTCAAAAAAAATTGTTTCTTTTGTATTTTGACAGAAAAAAATCGTACGGTACCTAACCGAAAACTTAATCATTGTTTTGCTTAAGTATCTCAAAAATTAGCTACACCATCAAAAATTTCTTTGAAATGAATTTCTTTTGTCTCCATCATAGGAATACAAAATATATGCATATATTTAGTTTCAAATATAATTAAATACGCGGACGTCGCAAAGTCGCAAGAAATAAAATTCCATCCAATTATCACATAATTGTCATGATTTTATGAGACGAACATGGATATCTTTTAAACGCAGACGACTTTTCGCCTGCGGCTATCTTAATAGAAAGACTTACTGAAGGAACCAGTTTCGTTGAAGCTGAAATATCTTAAAAAGAGATATGATTCAAATTATGTAATTTGATTTTGTCGTTCTTTATAATTACATAAACAAAGAACGTTGTGGGTATTATTTTGAAATATTAAATGTTATCGAAGACATCGCAATATATTACCTAAAATTGAAATTAAGTATGTAAGAGCAAGATAACTATTTGTTTTGTTTAAAAATTTAGATATCGGCAAGCGAAAAGTGGATAGCTAAAATCATCGTTGATAACGAAGAGATTTAAATCATTGATTTTTATCTCAAATTTTAAAATAGCGAATAATTCAATAATAAAATAATCAAAGTTGGAATATGTCAATAATACACAAAGCTTATTAATTAAAATAATAAGCAAAGTTTTTATTAAAACAAGGTTTATGATAAAATAATAACCAATCTCAAAGTTTATGATAAAAAAATAATAACCAATCAAAATAATAATCAATCAAATTAATAAATAACAATTTAATAATTTTGAATTATCATTATCGAAATAAAAGAGGTTTAAGAGTTTAATCGATATCTCAAGTAAGTTCAGCAAGTAAGTAAAGTTTTTCAATTGGCAATAGATTTTTGAGATTGCAGTCAAAAGAAGGACTCGCGAATGGATATTCGATTGTGAGATCGCTCACCAATTAATCTTTGATCCTGAGTTGATGTGTAACGTTAGCTTCTCGTGATTGTCTCTTGAATGTTGCAAAAAAAGTCGGTGGGGCTACATTTGTGAATATTTTTTCTCTACGTCCATTATAATCGCGTATATATGTAGATTTATTTTTCAAAATTTAAAAAAAAAGCTGGTTAGAATGAAAAAAATCGTTTTCAAATCGATGACGATTATAAAATTTACATATTCGTTTTGAAAAAGTCACTGCTTAAATAAATTTAAAAATCTTTTTAACTTGTGTTTTGGCACAAAAAAAAGTCATATCACGTGAACGATGCGAAATCGATGATGTAATGTAACTCGTGTGCGTGATCGTTGCACAAAAAATGATTATCTCTAGTCGAAATGAAAGGAAATTGCGCTATAAAGTATTCTCGTGAATATTTCATACAGGAAACATGGATTTAGTTGTGTTCATCTCGCAAATTTTATTATTGGGCTATAGACTGTTTAATCGATAGAATAACAGGTAAGATAGTGTTTCTCAATAAACATATGTAAGCGATGTAATACTTTGTGTCTTATCACAAAATTACACTTAATATAATTCGATCTCTCTTATACAGATACGGGAATTTTCTAATTTAATCTTGTTTCATCGATGTTAGATCTATTTATCGCATTATATATGGGCGTTTAACAGATACAACATTCGTAAAATTATCCACGTACGTTTAATTTGCGTTGCAATTTGTCTATTTTTATATGTTCGATTTATATCTTGATTTGGACTTCGATGTTTGCGTAAAACAAAATAAAAATGTTAACCGGAAAAGAACAACACAGGCCAAGACATGTCCACGATTTATCTGTTTGCTTATGTCACGCTAGCATTGTTACTATCTTTGTTGAATCAGGGCCAAGGTTAATGCCGCAAGTGGTTACGCCACTTCGAATCTACTTTTAGCTGATGCAAAATAATCCCGCGAAAGATCCTTCCACCAACAGTAGCAGCAATTCGCGACGACGGGATTCGCGTGGAATAATAAACGAGCTGTATCAAAGACTGCAATCGTAACATTAAGGACTGGAGTTCTACAACTCACAGTTAGCTGTGACAACTCTTAACTGAGGTTCAACTTGTTTCTAATCTCTTTCCAATTCTAGAATTGGAAAGAGATTCAACGAGTTGTGGGACTGGGTCTAAGACTCAATTCCACAACTCACGTTCCATTAACTCTTATGGGCCTTCTATAATAAGCCATTATAATAAGTCATAAATCAAAAGCCAGAAATTAAAAACTGACGACTATGATTGATCAATTTTTAGCTTCTGACTTCTGATTTATTACTAATGGCTTATTGTAGAAGGCCCATTAACCAAATTCAATCTGATCCTCATTTTATGTGTCCTCAATTCTATTTCTTGAATTGAAAAGATACGAGGAATAAATTTAATTAAGAATTAATCGTGAGTTGTGGACATGGATCTAAAAGAATTTAAAAATTGCAAGGAATTGAATAAGCAATAAATGCCATCATAAGTTCCGTGAGTGCAGGTGATACCCCCAATAGAACGCAAAGTACGTAAGTACGTAAGTAACAGTAGTAATTAGTTTTCTCGATGACGACATGTAGCGAAGTGAAATGGCTACCCCGCCTCTCGCTCATGGGAAATGTCAAACGGCTCTTGCCGCAAGCGCACGCTTGTAATAACAATGCAACTGTTGCGGAAGTGGTATAAAAAATTTACATGTCGATGTATAGACTGCCGTAAAAGATATAAAGTGACTATCTTGTGTCTGCATGAGTCGACATATCTTCATAAATAGAATCGATATTTTGAGAGCCAACAATTTACTTACATACGTCTGCTACCTACAGCATGAATTCCGCGAAAACCTCGGTATTATCGCGATATGTATTGTCCTAACTTGTTAGAATAAATCATGATCTGAATAAAGAAGTCCGTGAATAACAATTCTGGTCTGACCTTCTTTCTATTCTGAATACCAGAAAAATGGGCATGACGAGTTGTACTTAGTTTGGGCATCCAAGCATATTGTTCGTGAAGAACACAGGTTACAACGAGTGTAAATCTTGTGGATTTGCTTCACGAATATAAGCCGATTTAAGATTTTTCTACTTCACTTTGTGCAAAACATTTTCGAGTTTCAAATTCAACTTAAATTAAATATTGAACATCTGGATATGAGATATAATATTTAATCTTGGAGCAGTACTCTGCATTGCACGTACTTTTCGTATGACGTTCGAAGAAGTTATGAACGTGACCTTATCGAAAATAGATATAATAGTCCGTGACGAGGAAAGAAATGACGAATTGAAGACTATTTTAAGAAAATATTAAGCAAAAAATAATGTATTATGAAAATCATTGTATTCTCTGACATAATCGCAATAATTACGATGATCGACTCGAGGAGCTAGTCATTGTCTGTATGTGTAGATTTCTTAATGATATAATCGCGGCAATAATTTTACTTCCTTCGGATAAATGAAAACGTTTCGACCCTGAAGACACAATAAGAATCGAATTGCGTAAAAAATGATCATTTTTTGTATTCAAATTAGATATATAAATAGTTTGTAACAATATGTATTGTATATCGATTACCTACATTATATTTATTTATCTATCGCATAAGAGAGAGAGAGCAACATCATTCAAAATAGTATACATAATTATTTAAAATTTTACGTAAAAATTTTGTGAAGTTGCATAATGAGTTGAAAAATGCAGTAATTGTTTTTATAAAATTTTATTACAGCACTGTAAAATAATAATTGATTGAATTGTCTAATATAAAGTAATTTGAATTTAAAAAAATATACCCGATAAGACTAGATAAGCTGTGTTATAAATAGATTTGTTAAACTGCAATTTGTTTGCGTCCCAACTTGTTAAACTCACAGCTAGAAACCAGATTCAACTGTGTTCAATAATACGACAACGCGTGTTAATTCACATCAAGTATATAATTATATTTAACCAAGATCGTCGTTTTTTAACTGAGAACAACAAATTCATTTAATGAGAAGTGTTTTCAAACGTTTTATTCGTGTAAATTAATTGTTAGCTAAGTGCCTGTGTGAAAAAAATTATCACGCTTAGAAAGATGAGATTCATAGTCAAACTTGTAATACAAAAATTAAAAACCATATTAATCAACGATGAATAATTCTGCATATTTATAAATAATTTATATAAAACAATGATAAATTTTCAAACCTGATTAAAAGAATAATCATTAAAAATAAGCAGATCTCATTTTTCACAGTATTTCTTCTCAAATTAAAATGATTTAATAAATTAAATTAAAACGATATTGATTTATAATGATAAATTAGTTCACCATGATAAATGAGTCACGGTGCAACAGGTTCGAGAATCCATCCGCGTGATTTCATTGTTATGCGAGACAATCGGTTGGAGACTATCGTTTTGACATTGTCTATGCTTAGCAGACACAACCAGCGGTTTCTATTTCCTTGCATGGTAAATCAATTGATTGAGACCATCTAGTATTTTCCGAACAGATATTCGGATATTTAATATCATTGTAAAAAAAAATTAAATATCCGAATTAAAAAAAAATTACAAATCAACAGTAAAAATTATTCATTTAATAAACATAATTTCTTTAAACCCCGCATATATTGAGAAAGTTCGCCGATGTTGAAAATTGAAACGCAGAAAATTTAAATTTTAGTATACATTTATTAAATTATATAGATATTAGTCGGCACGAACTTTCCGGACAACCCAATATTTTACATCAATATTTTTTCTTTTGATTCGTGATGATACAAGATTATTAATTTTGCTATAATTAGATAAATTTTATTGCAAATGTCACAAGTATGACAATTGAAATTGCGTCTGAAAATTTGAAGCTATTACAAAGAGCACATTGTTATAGTTAGATCTATTTAAGAAAGAAACCAGTTTTCGTAATTCATATAATAGATTCGATGCTTAGAAAATGTTTACGAGAAAAAACAGAATTCGATAAACATATTAGGTGTAGTAAAAAGAAATCCATTATTTTTCCATTCAATTTCATGCAAAAATAATGGATTTCTTTTTACTACACCTAATATCTTTAATGTAAAATGAGTTGCTTCTAAAAATTACGTCACTTTTTCGTACGTCAAACTGCGAGCGAAATAGCGCCATAAATACAGCATTGGCTTATTGCAACTTCGTAATATTAGATTAGACACTTTTATTGAACTGTTTAGAAATGTATGTCAAATAAAAAATAGAATCGAAAATAGAATAGAAAAATATTGATTATAAAAATCGATTGCAAAAATAATGTGCACACGGAAAGAATGATTTTGCTGAAAAATCGTAAAAAAAAGCGTAAAAAAAATTAATTACAGATCCAAAAATAATTACTTAAAAATCTCGAGCATAATAAACAGTACTGTAAAAAAGCTTTTACAACCAGTTTAACAACCAATAATGTCTTACATTATTTTAATAATTCAATAAAATTATTTTCAGAATATCTATTAAGTTTTTAAATAGTAAAAAACATTCTTTCTGTGTATTAACGAAGAACAATTTATTATATTAATTAAAACTTTCTTTAAAATATATAGCATTATCATGCATAAATGTTATCTTTGCCAATAAAAAATAAATTCGCGTTTTTTATTGTAATAAAAAATGTTTAATATCATTTAATTACAACGATTTTATTTTAATTAATACGATTTAATTATATCAGTTTGTATTTAATTTAATTTTAAGGCTTATACATTGCTATCGATTGTGAATTGCGTTTTGATACATGAAACTCGCGAGAAACCAACATAGTCGAGGATCGATGCGATAGACATTTATGGACTGTAATCACAGTTTAAATGAACACAGGACAAGATAATAGGCTGCGTCGTCTCTTAAATGGCATATCGAAACGTCGAACAAACAAGTAACAACTATTGTAAATTGCAATGTTTTCAGAAAAAAGATATGAAAAACACAGTAAAAGACGAGTCGGTAAAATTCGCGTCAGTATAATATTAGTCTCGATTTATTTGAAGATCGATTAATGACACCCTATTGTGTTTCAGCGTGGAGCGAGAAGCATCGAAGAATATCGAAGAGAATGAGCGAGAGTGCTTTAAAGATGCGATCGTCTCGAGTCGGAGCCTCAACAAAGGTTTCGTCGAACCAACGAACCTTAGAAATGCCATTCGAGAGGTATCAATTATATCATTATTCCAAGAAGAGAAAAGATAATTACTTCGTTCTATTTTCGAGTGATAGTATGTTTTCCATGTGAAAGAAAAGCTTTACAAAAGCTATGTAAAAAAAATAAAAGAAATTTTGCTGAAATATGTAAATTTAGCTAAATACAGATCTGAAAATTATTTTGTGTAGACCATAAAAATAATTATATAAGACTCAAACTGGTTGCTAGAATGTTAAAACTTTTTGTAGCGTTGTTATCCACGCTTACATATTTCCTATAATTATTTTAATGGTCCTACGAAATTATTTTTAGATCTGTATCTAATAAAATTTTTAGATACTTTAGCGAAACCATTTTTTCTTACATGATTTTCTGCTTGAATAGTATTCGATCATTAAATTAGATTTAATAACAGATTTTTTTTGTATTCTAATTAATAATATATATTTTTTTTAATAATATCTTTTGAGAACAATTCATTTTAAAGAAAAGATAAAAAAAATGAGTTTGAGAATTTGTTCTCGTTTATTTCTCGTTTGTTTCGTGGATCTTAAAAGTATCATGATAAAGTAGAAAACCAAGGTGAAATTTTACGGAAGCTATGCATAACAATTTTCATAATAATTTTCGCAGATCGTTGCCTGCATCATTGCAGCGTCTTTCCACATAGCGGTGGGCTTCACTATGGCATATTCAGCAACTCTCATTCCTCATCTCGAGAAGGAAAACGCACAGTTACATGCTACGCGTGAACAAACTTCCTGGATAGGTAAGTACAAATATATGTATTGCACAAATACATATATATATAGTAAGGCAGTAAAGATAAAAGTGATGAAAGTGTAATATGTCGCTTGATTCAACGATCAAAAGCGATTACACACGTAATATAAATTACGAATTATGATAACCATTGATTGTTTCTTTCTTTGAATAATACATTCATAAGTACTCAAAATAATGACAACGCGAGATAATAATCTATTTACAGTTATATAAGTTAGATTACGTTTATCGTAAAATAAATGAATACCTATTGTAAATGTAGCGTCAGTTTTGCGTAAAATCATTAACAGCTAGTTATCTTCTCTTATTGATAAAGTACGGTCACGAGAGTGATTACGTAAAAGTTGTAATTATCAGAAGAAAACCATACATGCACATTGTTGTGCGTGTCTGTGTTGCATGAGAGGCAGTTGTCCATTCGAACTTCGTGCTCTGATTAAATTCGCGTTACGCAAGATCAATCTATTCTCATCGGTATTGCAATCTTCTCGCGACAATGGAAGATTGTTTTTTTCCTATACCTATACAAATTTTTAGTCTAGCTAATCGAGCTCTTGTGTGATCGTTCGAATATGATTTTATTGAAACGTATTCGAGCAGAACAAAAGTCGTCATGAAACCATCAAAATGGCTTTAAAATGATTATTGAATCACTTTTCGATCACTCATAATTCACTTTAACATCAGTTTGACGTTAAAATGATATTAACTTAGTCACGATTCATTTTAATGTTATTTTGACATTATCGTGATATGTAGTTCTGCTTAGATATATAAAGAATTAAAAACAGTTTTTATACGATAATTGGGAAAAATCTAAAAATACGTTGAACTAAATAATGAATAAAGATATAAAATGAATAAAGAATAAATGAATGAAGAAGAAAAATGAATAAAGATATAATAAAATATAACGAGAAAATTAGTATGAATTAAGGATTAAGGACGTGACACGATAGAGAGCGCAAAATAAATAATATCGATTCCGACTTTTCAGCCAGTCTGGCCGTCGTGAGTGCGCCAGTTGGTGCCTTAATAGGGGGCTTCCTCATGGAAATATTTGGTCGAGTGAGAACTCTGCAGATCGGTGCGATTCCCTCTTTGATTGGCTGGATCTTAATCGGCACATCGATCAATATACCGATGTTACTAGTCGGTCGTTTGTTAACCGGATTAGCGACCGCCCTGATGACTTCGCCAGCAATCGTCTACATCACTGAGGTAGCCAGGCCGGAACTCCGTGGATCCTTGATCTCATTTGGACCAACGTTGGCATCATTCGGCATGGTGTTGTGTTATCTGAAGGGTGCTTACATAAAATGGAAAATAGTCGCTTACCTCAGCACCGCCTACTCGTTCCTACCCATTTTTATGGTGCAATTTCTGGTACCGGAGTCGCCCGTCTGGCTTATTTCGAAAGGCCGCAAAGCAGATGCCAAGAAATCTTTGGACTGGTATAATTTAATCTGATTATTAAATGACAAAATTCATAGACATCAAAATATACAACAAAATGTAAAATTATAGATACCTGAAAGAGTATGGTTGCATTGAAATTCTGGTTAAACATGAACAAGTCTAAATTTCTTGATTGAATGTATTATAACTCTAATTAAGATAATTAAGAGAATTTTGATTGATCAGAATCTTTTGGTTCATTCATTTTTAACTAAAAATTTTGCTCGGTGTAACAATGAACACTTTCACTTGAGAGCTAATTTGAGAACTAATTGCAGGAGTTGATATTTACTAATTAAATCTTCAAAATAAATGTATACAATGTATAAGAGGCTGTCTCAAGACTTTGCAATCTCTTATTTTTAACATATTAGGTGTAGTAAAAAGAAATCCATTATTTTTGCATGAAATTGAATGGAAAAATAATGGATTTCTTTTTACTAATATATAAACATTGGTAATTCTGCGTAGGCTTTATAAGAATGAGACATCGGAAAGCAAGACATCGGTGGCTCTGGCGCAATTTACCAATATTGTGAAGGAACACGAAATTAAATTGAATGAGCAACGACGTAGCAAACATGGTAGCGCGGCCAGTAAATGGCGAGGATTTCTTAAACCGACTGGATGGAAACCTATGGCGATACTCTTCCTATTCTTTTCATTTCAGCAATTTTCTGGAATTTATATCACGCTGTTCTACGCAGTGACTTGGTTCCAAGTAATTGAAAGATATTTATATATGTATATATATCCAGTAGATTTTATGTATCTTGTTTTTTTATATTTTATAAATTATATTCAATTATAATTTATGTACATATAATGATAACAACTTACAATGTTATGACAACGTCAAAATATAGTTAAAATGAATTGTAATTGATTGAAAAATGACTTTTAATAGTCAATTTCATTTCATGATGATTCATGTTTTGTTTAAAAATTTTGTTTATTGATTTATAACTGCATGAAAAGAATAAATTTGCTAAAATATCAAATATTTAATTAGTTACAGATCTAAAAACAATTTTGTTGGATCATCAAAGTAAATACGTATCTCAAACATGATGAGTAATGCTGCAAAAAGTTTTAACATTTTAGAAAATAGTTTGTGTGTTTCACAATTGTTTTGATAGTCCAACGAAAGTATTTTCAGATCTAACTAATGTTTTAGATTCTTGAGCAAAATTTCCTTGATAACGGATAAGGGACATTAAAACTTGTTACAATTTTCAGGAAGTGGGTGCGGGTGTAGATGCGTATTTAGCATCAATTTTGGTGGGCCTAACGCGTTTCCTGTGCTCCATGATGAACACTTGGTTATTGAGGCGATACAAGAGACGATCGTTGTGTATTATATCATCCATCGGGATGGCTCTGTGTATGATCGTTTCCGGTTATTTCACGCTGAACATTAAGAATGGCGATCGTAGCGGATTCTGGGTAAGTTCTAGAATTGTTTCTCGTATAATTTTGTTAAATTTAATTTTTAAAATACGTGAGAAAATACGACGTGATGCTCGCAGGTACCGGTGGCTTGCCTGCTACTTTATGTGTGTACATCGATGGTCGGGATGTTGACCATTCCATGGACTATGACGGCGGAATTGTTCCCGACTGAAATCCGTGGGATCGCCCATTCCATCAGTTATTCTATAGCGAATCTACTCATGTTCGTCGCGTTGCAGAGCTATAGAAGTTTGCAAATTTTCCTAGGAGGTACATTTGAAATGTGTATTTATATCTCAAACTTATAATTATCATATTGTGATATCTTGCAACGATATCTCTTTCACATTCCAATTACTTTGGTATACTTTTCTATTTTTCATTTCTGTTATTCTTTTCATTTAATCTGAATGCTTAATTTAATCATTATTTCACTAAAAATTAAGGCTAGAGAATCATATATCTCTCAAAATGGTTATATGTATAGACAAACTTGGCTAAGAAAATTCTTCTATTTCAAGGTGCATATGCGGTGCAGTATTTCTTTGCCGGTGTTTCCGTGGGGGCGGCTATTTTCGTGTGGCTATTGCTGCCAGAGACGCACGGGAAGAAGCTGTCAGAGATCGAGGAATACTTTCACAACAATTTTCTGGCCTTGGGAGCGGAGGCGAAGGACAAAAAGCGGCGCGCCGCAAGAAGGGCTCAGCAGAAGGCGACCGAGCCGCTCAATCCGAACATCATGCAGAACGTTTAAGCTCTCTTACTTTTCTCTTCGTTCTTTCGTAACGAATTTATGAACGCAGAGTTCAAGATGTCTCGGAGAAAGTATTAAAATCGATTTAAAAAAAAAAAAAAAAAAAAAAAAAAAAAAAAAAAACACGCAACTAGCATTAATTCTTACGCGACCAATTTTCTAACTGTGTACGATAAACCGTACACCCGAGACATATTTAGCTGTGCAAAGTATCGTTTTGATACAAATGATATAACTAGTTTATTCATTCGACGTGAATTGTATCTGGCGAGACAACCGAATATTTGGAATATTTGAAAAAGTGGCACAACTTTTCGAACGGGACGATAAATAAAGTGCGAAGCTAAATCTTAGTGAATGTAATTTTACGCTTCGTTGCTTTCGTTTATTCTCACTTATAATTACATAATTTAGAGTTTGATCCAAACGTTCACGTGTGACACGCGCGTATCGTATGATGTATATATACGATAAAAGCGAAGCCAACGAAAAATGTTTTCTCTAATGTTTCGCTCCTCGTCGGACTAGAGCTGATTATACACATCGAGATATATTATTAATGTAACGTTATTACGTAATGAGAGAGAAAAAGAGAGGGAGATAGTACATCGCGCGGTAAAGAATGCGAGACTTGCTTTAGCAAAGAAAGAATTGTATACGCTTCGCGCGCGAGAGCGTCCAAGCATAGTGCCTCCAATTTTCCTTTCCTACGAGAATTTCGCATGAAGATTATCGTTACAGTATTATAATGCCGATCTGATGTCACGTAGATCACAGAATTGATCGCGATAAAGAATTCTCCGCTTTCTAAACTGTCACTCGATTTTGCCGCAGTTTTATTTCAATGGCGTAACTGTGCGATTCCGGGAAGATTAAATCATTTACAAACATTAACATAGACGATTTAAAACCGTGAAAATTTAATATATTGAGTAATTATGTAAAGGAATTTGTATAGATACCGGAGAGATGTGATTGTGCCGTTGAAACTTTAGTCTAAGATAAATAAAAAATGTATAGCGATTTCTAAATTTTCCGATCGAGCATTCCTTCTCTCTAAATTCTTTGGAGTGAAATCTTATTCTAAATGTTGATTTCTCATTAAAGAATTCATTTCATTCTAAAGAGCGAGATTTCATTCCGAAAAATTGAAATAGTTCTCGATATATTATAATATTTCACGAATTCGTTGCGATCAAGTGAGTTTATTGAGCGGATAATTTGCTTGCGCTCGGCGCCGTTTACTTAGGATAAATACTTAGATCATTCAAGAAATATTTAATTTAACGTCGTTAAGGACCATTTAGACAGAGCGAGACGTTATTTAAAAAAGTAACGCTCGGTTTTGCTAATCATATAGAAAAATTAGGCCAATACAGATCTAAAAATAATTACATAGGATATTCATGATAATAATTAATTACAAAAATCTCGAGAAGCTTGATTGTCTAATATAATTATTTAAATGGTTCAACATAATTATTTTCAGATCTGTATCTATATTCAGACAACACAAAGTTTAAAATCGGGATACATCTTTTACATAGTTCTCGCTATTCTTGCAAAAAATCTTTAAGGCGTCCTGTGTCCATGGCGCTAGAAATCGGTTCGAGATTTTGGATAGAGAAAGGATAAACAAAACACATTTGAACAATTTGATAACATGACTAATGCGATCGATCAATTCTTTCTTTATCCAAGGTCTCGGACTGATTTTTAACATTGTGGACACAAGGCTTTAGAAATCTTCTGTCCTGATTTTGGATGTTGTCTGGGTAGCTTTTTAAAACTTCAACAAAATCGTTCTTTTCATGTTACAAAATATTGCAGAATTTACAACATTCATATTTCATTCATCGTAATATCGTGCAGACACTTCAACGAAAAACAGAGACATGAATACAATCGCATTTGTCACTCACGTGTTGACAATCAACTTTGTAAATAAAAAATAACTCCACTGTATAATTTAATTGTAATCAAATAGTAATTCAATAAATTGTTGCGTGGTTTTACACAAAATCGTTCCGTCTAAATATACTTGAGGAAAGAAATCGTCATGTAAATCCGTGACGGACGGCACTCTTCGACAGATTGGAAGGGTCCAATCGGCGAATCGAATTTTATATTTTTATACGTTGAAATACACGATATATGCCATATACAAATGTGATAAGTTATAATAAGAGACAAACCTCCCGTAATTTTCGGCTTGCGTTGGCGACGTGCCGTTCACCACGCTTTTGCAAAATAAGTTTCATCTCCGACTGATGGTCAGTTTCATCGCGATTATGAGTGATGCTCATAGTCTAATCTTATATTTAATATAATCAGTTATTTGAGACGATTGTTTCAATCATTATATTGGTTGAATGGAACTTAAAATTCAACTTAAGGATTCAACCTAAGACATAAGATTTTAGATCTATTCTCATAGTCTCCGATTTTCTTTGAAGGACTATGAATAGCATCCTTTGGTCACCGTTCAGTCGATCGTTCCGAACGAAGAATCGATAAGCTAAATCGATGCAGCTGGCCATCGATTATCTACTTTTATTACATGTGATATCATTTTTCACTTTATTTTTCTTTGTTTTGTAAAATGGACAAGCTTTAATACTTAATTTATTCATAGTGAGAAACTTCGTATTCGTTTGCGAAAAGGGTAACATGGAAGATCTTGCATTTTTGTAAATCGCGATATTTTTTCGATATGTTTGCGTTATAAAAATTAGAATTTCTGACGAGACTGCTGTCGCAAAAACACATTTGGAACAATGAAAGATTTCTCCTCCGTTTTCTATCCGTTCTGCGTTCTTCTTCATGTTTACGCGGTGATATTTAGGTCGATGTATATTTATATCATTATACGAGCTTCTATTATTTCTATATACACGATGTCATTGTTTATATTAGTTTAATAAAACATTTGTAATATAAAGCACTCTCCTCCTCTTAATTTGATCCAATAAATGGTGAGAGATTAGATCAATTGAGAGAAATAATCCTATTTTCAGTCACACAAAGTGGATCTTAATGTTTAAATATTTCAGTGTGAATTTATATAAATATCCAATTCTGCAAACCGCGCGCGAAATTATTTTACAACTTTTAACATCAAATTATTCTTATATTGGTTTATCGGCAAAATTATTAAATTGCTTACTAATTTAATGTGATATTACTATTCTAGTTCTGTTCATGATTGCATTTCAAGATTGAAAAAGATTTCTGCGCGCGGTTTACAGAATTAAATATGTATATAAATTTATATACATATTTACTGAAATACAAATAGAATATTATTTCTCTTAATTGATTTATTCTCGTCTAATTAACAAATTAATTCAGAGATTAATTTAGAAATAATTAATTATCGATTATACAATAATGATGAATGTAGGAAATCCAATAGCAATTTATTAGTAATAATCGATTAAATCGATTAAACGTTATATTGGGCTAATATTTGGGCAATATTGTGTCAATAATTGCTACTAGCAATCGTAGCTTAATAAATATCATATTTAATTTTTCGTAATAAAAAATTTTGATCAAAAATATGGGATTGATTAAAAAGACCAGATTGGGACCAAATGTTTATTTCCTTAGGAAACTTTCGCAATATTCCTGATAGGTCTCGAATGAATCGGTGAGCGAACAATAACAGAAATCATTATTGCAATTGCCAAATTATTACGTTATATATTTAATGCGATCTGTATTGAAGAAAGAAAGGAAGAAATGGCAATTTGATCGCAAACGGAAATGCAGAGAGCAGTAGCGTCTCGTATTAATGCCTTATATCAAGTTGGCAATTACAATATCAATACAGTGATAATATCATCGTGATGATAGCTTATTGTTCAAATTTATCGACGTGAAAAAAATTTCGATAGATTCTTATCTTCGCGTTTCTAATATTTTATTCCTCTCCTTGGGCTTTCGTCTCTGCGTTGAGATTTGTCGAGCCGGATCCAACAGATCGAGCGCGGATAAAAGTCTAACTACAAATCCAGACAATACAAAATCTTAAAAATGTCTTTTGCAAAAATATTTTTAAGACGTCTTGTATTCCGATTTTAGATTTTATGTTGTCTGAGAATGTACGTGAAAAAGTTTTCTGGTGTCTCCAGATCCTGAGGGAAAATAAATTTTTACGAAAAAGTACAGAAAAACAACATTGGGATAAAATTTTAGAAATTCTTAATTTTTCGTAAATATTCGTAATGGAATGTAGTCGTTATTTGAGAGCGGAGGATTTTTTGGTTTTTCGAACAAACAACGCCATTCTACGTCTCATTATGAATATCTATGAAAAACTTCTATGAAGAATTTCTAAAATCTTATTGTTTCAATCTATGTAGTTTTCGTAAAAATTTTTTCAGGGTTAACAACGATATGTGTGCTTGCGACACAAATGCGATGAAGAAAATAGCTCCGATCTCGAGAATCCATTATACAGGATAGTCGTAACCATAACGTCACAAGATTGACACGCAATTTACAAAAATAAATCGACTATAATTAACAAAAATTTCCTTTTCAGCAATTTGGTCATTTCATTAATTAGAACTATTCGCAGGACGATTCATGGAAAAATAATTAATCGATTAGACTTCTTGTTTTCAGACGCATATCGCGCTCATAATTATTCAAATATTTTCCACGCTCGAATTAACGTAATTAACGAGATGAATAACAATAGTACTCACATTTACGACATCGTGGTTCAAGGAAGTACTTCTTCGCACGTATTATTGAAGCACACGAAGAATAAATTCAAAGATGCGTCGCGAACTGAACTTGCGTGAGATCCGTTCGATTCGAAGTCTTGCGATGTCGCGATCGATGTAAACTTCATGATGTTTCAGGATAAAAGCGGAACATTCGAAACTAAAACAAAACTAAAACAGACGTAATCCAATCTAATCAAATTCTTGGGCCGATATTCATAATTGATTCTTATATTTAAGACTGTCTTAAATGGAGTCTTAAGATAAAACAATCACAAAGCCATATTAGCATTTTATAATACATTACTTAAGACAGTCTTGAAGTAAGAATCGATTATGAATACCGGAAAATAGAATATTTCTCCTTAAAAATTAAACTGTATGATTCATAATACAAAGCAAACATATTATAAGGAACGTTCTTTGAAAATTTTACTAAGCTTTTCCAGATTTTTTTTACATATATCGAATTCGTAGCAAGAAAATGTGTCTCACGCCCCTTTAATATGTCAAATATGATATATATTAAACATAATCGAACATATGTAAAATTTTCATAGCAATAAAGACGCAATAATTAGACGCAATAATTAGTAATTACAATACATTCTTTGTTTCATTCATAAATAACTGCGGTACTCATTCACTCATACTTTCTCAGGAAATCAACTTTTTTCAAGTTGAGCTTTTTGCCACACTGTTGAATCTCAAATTTAAGTATCTAATTTATTTTTATTTCTCGAATTTCAGAAATAAGTATCGTTTAGCGGATCGTACGAGTCGCGCTGTCAGTCGATCATCGCGCACGCACATGAAATTTGTTTTTCGATAGTCGAATCTTCGAATAATTGGAGAAATAATTAACGCGCCGATTTGGGACATTTCTCATTGCGCGCAAAGCGGAACGAATAAAACTGCGATTTGCAACTGCCGGATGCAAAAAAGAAGAAGAAAGGTGATAGCATGAAAGGTGCATATGAGGGGGAAGGGGAGGGCTCGATAGAAATGCTTAACGATGAAATTTATTATGCTCGCGAAATAGTTAACAGCGGATGTTAACAAACATTAAAATGATAACGCAGGAGGCTTATATCCTATAGCTTCTCCATGGGCAACCGAACGATCCGGCTTCGAAAAAGAAGAGACTGTCGCAGAGGATCGTTCGTAACGCCCACCAAATCCTCATATATATCACACACGCATCGAGTTACAATTACAACGCAAGTCGAGTATCGATATAATATTAATAATAATAATAATAATAATAATAATAATAATAATAACGCTCGTAAAACTTAACAGAACAAGCAAATCGATAAACACTATCACCACGCAGAGCCTGGCTGTGTCAGAGAGCCTCAGCACGACCAACGCTGCAGGCAGTGACGATGAGCTACCTAATTCGTATATCAATTATTATATTACGTATAATATAATTACACGTTCTAAGTATTATTTCGTATATGTATATATATACACACACAACCACGTGTCACACAGGCCATGCCCTAAATCGACGTGAAGTCAAATAGATCGCCAAAACGCTTGAGTATCGAAAATTGCGAATTCAACGCAAGACAAGATTTGCAAGATGCATATTTGAAATAAACGTCGCATATATATGTATATTTAAAATGGATCTTTACGAATTTTATCGATTTGCGTTGAGCCCTCTTAATACAACTTGATTTTGCAGATGGTTACTTAATGGCGTATTTGAATCTTCCGCAGATTTAAAGGCGCGATTAAATCTTTCAATTAGAATATCGCCGCGCGAAATATCGATTATTTAATTACGCAACGAAGATCTCGTCTTTTCCACGAGAGGCTATCCACAAACATCATTTATTTATCTCGACAATAATTTGACAATTCAGCATCTCGAATAAAGGGTCGCACAAGCGTAGATAATTAATACTCGCATGTGGAATAAATATCTATTCGTGAAATGTATTTTCCGAGATTCTATTCGGAGCGCAGAATGGGAAAAATATCGAGTTCATCTAAAATTTTTCTATGAGAATAATCAATAAGTCCTTTTTCTTCTTTTTTTCTTTATCGCGAAGCAGTGTTCATTTATACGACGTCGGCAACAGTCGAAGACCTTGTATTTTCCTCCTCTACAATCTCGATCCGCAAAAATTGTTTCTAGGTGATGCTGAAAGACAATCTTCAATCAAATTCCGTCGCGTCGACGCCAAAGGCACCAAGTAAAAGAAATACAGTACGTCTGTCTCATGTTTTCCCTTTCAAATTACTCCTCTAATATTCATTCGATATTTTGCATTTTCTTTGGCACTATTTGGCCGTATTGTGTCCGAGACGTGAATTATCGCGTCATCACGCTGAATTATCGAGATATTATTAGATTTTTTTATATTCTATCATAAGTGACTCACTTTTCTTCATCTGTTTTACGTTCGGTATATTCGTATACACATCGAACGTTTCCAAAAAATGATTTTTCCGATATCTCGTAATATTTCAATATTGCGCCTTGACAAATTCATAATAAAATTATATTTATTATCCTTATATATATATATATATCGTATCTCGACTAAATATATGTAAGAAAAGGACAAAAGGGATGATTTATACGTAGAATATATATAATTTTTTTTTCTTATACAGTAAACAGAAACGACAATGGCACAAAATGTTACTAAACTCGTTACGTTAGCGTTTGATTTAGCGTTCATTCAATTATTGGCAACGTGATGAACAGTTTAAGTGTTAATGTTAGTTCCGAGCAGATTAATTTACTAATCACTGCTACTTTATTTATGCTTGCTTCTTAAACACGCGCTAATTTCTCAGCCACGCAATCTCATTCTCTCACATCAAAAATCTCTCTCTCTCTCTCTCTCTCTCTCTCTCTCTCTCTCTCTCTCTCACGTATTTTCTTTTGTGTATGTGTTATTTAATTTAATCTGTTTAATTTTATTTGTGTCTATGCATGGTTCGTCAAAAAAAGACTCGACTATTCCGTTTGTCTTTTACGTCATTGTGCGTCCTTGGGAATCTGACTAGCACGTAGATTTCAGTTGAATAAATTATACACTTTTCACTTTTCCTTATCACGTGTCGTTGCTGTGAAGTGCATCACGACATATCGCCGGACATGCAATTACGCTCGACGCTAAACGTAAATTCGGTACTAAATGTAAATAAACATACGATATACATATTTTAACATTTGCTGATTAATTTGCGTGATTAGTGTTCGGCTGCGTATTACGAGAGATATTTAAATCATTCGTAGACAGTGATGTTGTATTGCGTTCTTTCAGTTTGTCATTCATCTCGTTGAATTATCAGTTCCTTATGGCGATGGAAGGTTTGAAGTCCCGGGAGAGAAAAAGAATATTTTAATCTTACTATTTGCAAAAATGAAAATAAAAATTCGGTCTTGTACGTATCAACATAAATATTGGACTTCCTACCATAAAATACGGCATAATTGGCATTATGTACAAGATCGTGGTAAGAAAATAAAAAAGATGATTAGCAAAATTAAACAAATTAAGAAGCCATTCATTTCATAAAGGAATATATAATATTGCATAAATAATTTCACAAACCTTTCCACAGAAAAAACCTCCTTGCGTATCATGGAACGGTACTTAAAAGACGTATCAGTCGAAATTATGTGATGCTCACTTAAAGACGTATAATTAATCTTATAGTAATATAGTTGTTTTATGCTCTCATAAAAGATGAAAAAAAATCTGCGTATGTTACGAATTCCCATTGCTTTACTCTCTTAATAAGAATTAACCAACTGTACAAGCCCTTATTGTTTTAACAATTAATTCGATAAACATAACATCAAAACAATTATCGCGTTGATTTCGCATATATTTTTGTCGTCTCGAACAGCGATTCGCACTCCGTCGCGAAGTGACGCACACACACACATACGCACATCAGTCTCTATCGTATCAAAACTTTCGAGTCATACTGTTAAAACCGTCGTCAACCATCATGATGGATCGGACTTACTGAGGAAGCTAACAAGCACTTGCTCATGCCGCGCGCCAAAGCGAGCGAATCTTTTAAGTATCGCGACCCTGAGAGTCGTGGTATTGGATATTGGTTAATTCTTGCTGTTACTACGCGGACTCGCGGGTTGACTGTTCGCCTGCTGCTGCGCACGTTGTATATAGATGTTCAGTAGTTTGAGCTTACTGGAGTATAGACAACTTAGATGTGGCTTCAACACTTCCTCGCCGACCGCGACGTGGATTGCCACCATGCAAAAGACTGCGCTCTTACGAACCGCGCTTTCATTGTCATCGTAAGCCTGTAATACAAAGAAACATATAGTTAGTACATATACTCTTCAATGTTCTACTGTTCAATGAGAGAATGACCTCGATTTGCGCATAGCAGGCAATGTAACAACACTATGTACAACACTATGAAGCGCAAAACAGACGAGTTTTTCTGAGATTATTCTCTCGTTGAATGGAATACAATACAATACGGAGTACAATACAATATGTTAAATACAAATTTGAATTTCATTAACTTTTCTCACCTTAATAAGACCAGGCATTACTTTGGCAAGATGAGGTTCAATAGCTTCTCGACCCCAATGCTCTACCACTTTATGCAACATCTTTATCGCGCCCATATTCAATGGATATGACTCTGTAGCAATTATAGTGGAGACCAAATGGATAATTTGTTCCGGTTTTAAAACCATGGCCATCGTTGCCGCGCACTTTTCCGCATTCCAATGAACCTGTTAATGATATATAATGTCACAGATATGTAACACTACTAACTTGTTAATCAAAAAATTAAACAGAATTAATACTCACTGGAGATCTACCGCCGCTACCTCCGGAAGAATCAACTTTTTGATCGTCTGATTTGTAGGCGTAGATAACTTTCAATATTAGTAACTCATTGTAAGAGGAAAAACTTTCTATCAACTCGGAACATTTAAGCATATCGATCAGCGTTTGTAGAACTTCTACTTGTATCACTTTGCCGTCATTGGATAAGCTGTCTAATAAAACTTTGAGCACTTTCCTGAAATATCAAAGAATCGTTAAATCACCAGGATTAAAATACCGCGTTAAGGTTCGCTACTGATATACTGATTCTTCTTTAAAAGAAGAAAAAGAAGCTAATATTCCGACCATTGCCACAATCAACTCCAGTAGGAACGAGCCTTAAGATACGTGTCAGTTATACATCGTGACGTACTTGAAATTTCGTTTAATATATGACGAATCGCCTTCGCGGACATAGAGTTGAAATTCTTGTAACGCCGATACTTTTTCCGTAGTTTGCGCTACTTTAGATTGCAGAGTTTTAACCATATTATCCACGATTTCTGGTCTGTTTGTTGAATCTGGTGATGATCCTGTATATAAAATAAAACATTTCAATTTTATATATACAGATTTTTTTCTGAAAAAATAAAACACATACCATGCGTTTTATAACCATTGTTCTCTTGAGGTAGAATCAAATCACCGGCAATTGTATCGGATCCATTCACCGTTATATTACTAACAGATCGTCCTCGTTGCGTCGGTGAGGAAACGGACGAAGATCGACCCTGAAATAATAATTAGGATAATTTTATCGTAATTCAGTCTTGTTTTCATGGTATTATTTTATTAAACTTACCGAATTGGATAACGTCAAACCTTCCATTCTTTCCTCCACATCTGCCATATTGCTAATACCACTATCTTTACTGGTGGTGGCTCTCTCTAAACGTTCGAAGCCGTAATTTTGGATTTCGGCGGTCGTGCGTCGTAGAGATCTGTAGAAAGAACTTCAAAAATTAGTATACTTAATATTGTTTAAAAATAAAGATAAATTAGGTTTCATTATATTTAATTATAAAATATCTAGATTGTGTTGCAAATAAATTAACATGACAAAACACTGTCCACGCACTTATATACTTCCTCCAAGTTCTCATCTCCTCCATCGATTTCAGTCTTGTCCGCTTTAACATCGTTTTTCGCTTTCGTTCGAGCGGGCGAATTTTGCGATCTAGGCGGTGGTGTACCAGGTGATGCCGGAGTACTAGAAGTGGAAGATTTTCTTAAATGGTTCTGTACTAAAGGCCAGGCTGTTTCCTAAAAAAAGAAAAACAATGATTTAATGCGATATGAGAAAACGCAGATGAGTAAAATAATAATAATTAATTCATTCAACACACTTGATAGTATTTTGGTAATTCGGAGAGTATCATAGTAACTTGAGGCGGATTAAGATTGTAAAGTGATATCACAGCGTTTTGCGCATGTCTCCTCACGTCGTGGCTTTTGCCATCATTCGACCAGTCGAGCAGTCGTGCAAGTGCTGTCGCTGCAGAACTGCCTAGCGCGGACGGTTCTGCCGTCTCAGCGATCTGCGTGATAAAAGTCAATGCTGCTACTTTCACGCGAGAATTTGGTGTTTGTGTTGGATCTGTTAGATACCTCATCACAGCTGGTAGAAGCTGTTGGCCCGGGAAATAATCTCTGGACAAATCAGTACATATACGTGCATTTTAAAATTTAATAATCACAATAAACTCGATTACAAATGATACACTATTGCGTGAATGAAAGTTATTAAATCCTTACCTCACAACATCAAGCGTTTTGTGTATCTTTGTTTGTATAGATCCCAATAGATCAGTGCCTAACTTATTGAGAAGCCTCGCACATAAAACATACAACCAATCGCCAAGACCTTCGTTGTGAGTAATCAGTAGTTCGTTCAATGTGTCCAAGAACAAACTGAACACCTTGGTATGAGAATCCATAAACATTTTCGTAAAAATATCGGTCACTCTACGCAAATCTGTTGTTGTCAAAGTATTTCCGTTGCTCAAATAATGTTGCAAGCCCACTAAACCTTCTTTTCTGTCTCCCCAATGTTTATGAGCACAGTTTTCAATAATTTCTTTGATGTCCTGTAAAATGAAAAAAAATTGCTGCGTGTTGCTTTCCAAATATTAATATTAATTCATAGCTGCTATATTCTGAAATATTCTTGATGCAAAATAATGGATAACAAAAAGAATGTTCTCAAAATAATAATCTTTTCTTTTTTTTATAATACTAACATACAATTACTGTATTAATCGATTTACGAATATTTAATAAATCAGTTTTACTTCAAAGAGCAGAAATAAAAAAAAAAAAAAGAAATTTAACAAACCTTCGGGATAGATTGATCCCATAGATCACGGTATAATCTCGATTGAGAGCCACTCCATGAAAACGACTAATGGGTAGATGGGCGATGGAGAAATATGGAGAACAGAACGGCGTGTCGCGTTAGTCCAAACCAAACAAATATGCCGCAACAAAACCAAAAGTGAAAAAATCATGCATTAGCTACATTATCATACAGTGCTAAAAGCTTCATTGAGGTACCTTGTTTTCTATAATAAAAACTTGATTTGTATAATCAATAAAAAATTGTAAAATAACTTCACACATTTTATATTTTAATAAATATATTTTTTATTAAATTATATAAAACTTATATAAAACTAAAATACTCAAAATTGAAACTTACGTATTAATTTGCATGCCATTAAAATAAAAATAAAATCCAAGTACCGTGTATAAGCATTAACCAACTAATTATAAAAAGCGGTAAATTTTAATTATAATATAAAAATTAATTATAATATAAAAATGTGTAAATTCATAATATTAATAGCACATGACACATAAGTGAAAGTGTTCGTCATTGTCTCCTTTGTAAACGTGTGTGTGCTAGCTTATAAGAAAAAATTAATTTAACATATTACATAACTTCGATTTTGTAATGTGATATATGTCCATGTTTTGATCGAAGTAACAAAAATTCAATACTGAAGCCAACGAATGTGCGTCACTTTCTTATTTCTTTTATTTACTAATAAAATTTGCACTTACATCACTGGCTCGTCTAAAACCGTCTATACTTCTTTCCGAGCATATACTGCTGTTTTCGCTGTCGTCACTGTGATCCCCTTTGTTACCCGGTATTCTGGTGTAATTGTCGATACTGTCGAAGGTTAGAGCGTCCGCCAACGCAGACTCCGCTTCGCGTGACTTCTGCAACATCTTCTGCGCCATCACTGGTGGTCTAGTGCTGTCCGTTGGCGACATATGTAGATTCCTCCCTCTATCAATTCAAATAACTTGTATCACAACTGTATAAATTTATAGCATTTTCGATAAACGGAATTGTACTTACCTTAGTTTGCTCCCAAATCTCTGCGGACTCGGCTCACGACTATTGCTTGTGCTGCCAATAGTATGGCCGGATAATCGCCTTGGTCTACCGATCAGTGATTCACCTTCACGATTATACGTGGCATAACTTAATCTAGACGATGGGGAACCCGATCTACTACTAGCTGTTGTGGAAAAACAATTTTCGTTAATAATTCTCCATTACGTGTTTCTTTTCTTTCTCTTCTCAAAAAATTGCCAAACATACGTTGAGATTGCGAAACTCCCGCCACTCTTGTCCTCGTTCTTGCCACTCTTTCTGGGCTAGCAACCGCATTGGGATCCGGGGATTTAGTAGGACGAGCTAAAATAAAATGATACAATTTATTGCATATATAATAACAAAGAATTGTTTAATGTTCAATTTGATTATTTTATTACTTTATAAAATTTAGTAAGATATTACTCACGAAGTGCTGCTGCTTTTTGTCTGCTCATATTCGCGTACATTAATCTCGCTTTCGCTCTTTGAGCAGCTTGCAAATCAATTGCGCTGGTAGATCTAACTCCTGGCGTACCTCGGTCTGTAGAATTATAAAACGGATTAATTCTGTGATATTAGCTCCATGTAATTTCTACTTTACAACTTCTGTGCAAGATTAAAAAAAGGAAATCAACGTAAGACAACAATTCCGTTTGTGCATCTTTCTTTGGAGTGTGTGGGGTAACGTGTGCAAAGTGCGATTTATTTCTGAAGGAAATGACGATAGAACAATTACAATGACTGTCTGTTGGTCTTTGTAGTATCGGGATACCAGATTGACGATAAGACCGAGGCAAGGACGGAGTACGTCTGAGCGGACCGTGCGGTTGACCCGTGGTCTGATGCAAATTTTCCGTACTACCTTCATATGTTTAATGTAAAGAGAAGTCGCAAAGCAGCATGAAAACAGAGTGACAAGTCTTTTATATTAAGATTGCAGTATGAGTAACATTAATACATTCAAATGCAACGTAATCCGTTTTAATGGAACATTTTATCGCGGTAATAAACAAGCAGAAAGTCTTTACCTGCTGCGCTCATCACTGGTCTGGCTGTACGTGGACTAACACTCGACGATCTCATATTAGCCATGACATTTAAGCTGTTACTACTACCACTATTACTAAGAGACATTAAGGAGCGTTTATACGTCGCGTCCAAGTTATTAAGTAGTATCTCAGCCTGCTCTGGAAAGTGATTTTTAAATGCCCAGTATGATCTATAAAAAATGATAAAATTAATAAATTATTAAATTAATCTAAAATGAAGGCAGGCATCATTAGAATCCGGCTACAAAGGACTACTCACTTCCTGGCGAAGACTCGTGCTTCTGCGTCGGAATCCGCAATACCCTTTTTAAGTGCATCCGGCAATATTGTTATATGCTTCTGCAATATCTGCGTAGGCCAGGTTTGCAGGATTAAAGCCAGATATTCCCAAGACGCCCTACGAATATCTCTGCTCTTGTTGCTCACGCATGATATAATAATAGGCACATATCGAGTACAGTGGGTATTTTGAAGGATAAACCGAACTGCCACCGCTCCGGCTGTCGCTACGACCTAGTTGAAAATGGTGAGAGTAATTAAATTCTTACCTCTTATAGAAATTACATAAAAACTAACGGACACGCGAACGACGTAAAACTCTATGAGGTATGACGTTCGTAAAGATGTGCAATTAGACTCAATACAGCAATTTAGACAATAATTGTATCTAAATGTAGCAGCGATCTAGCATTCCGTGAGATTTACCTTGGCACTGTTCTGTATGAGGTTCATTAACGTGAGCAAAACCGCCTCGCCAAAACTGGCGAATTTGGTCTTCAGGCTCTGACTCAGAAAAGCGAGAGTTATACAGGCTTCTCGCGCTACTTGGGATCTAAGGTCAGTGCAGGCCTGTTCGAACGGTCGCTGTACGCTCTTTAGGCACTCGTGGAAATTTTCGTAATTAGTGCCACCTGCGAGTACAATGGCTCTTAACTTTCTCATCTAGAAAAGCAGGAAGACAACGGATAAAAAATATCGTCAAACCACGGAGAAAGATAATCTCATTTTCTCGCGATACATACGCTATCCATTCTTTGTTTCCAATCCTTTTTATCGTCACCCACGGTATCCCTGATACTTTTCATCTGTTCTTCGAGATCTTTTGCTGAGAATAGATTAACGGTAGGTACATCCTCGAATGAAGTAATAAAGCATTCTTCGTCAACGGCTCCGGCTTGCGCTGAATACAAGTAATGAAAATAGTTTTTTTATATTCACTTCGATACGAAAATACATATGTACGCTAAAGAACTATACTTTTCTTTGCACGTTCAAAAATTGTGAATGATTGTGAAACTAATTCTAAATTACATAGATTGCTATAAATTGCTGTGAATAATGCTCAAGCGGCCGCGAAATGCATTACAGATAAACAAAAACGATGACTGCAATATGTAATAAATAAGCACTGTATGTAGTTACATGTCAAAAATTATAAATGAGAAGCATATGGCTGATTAAAAAGCAATAACACAGAGGGTATTTATTATTCTAAGGAATTAATGATTTATTGACAAAATTCTGCAACGCAGAATTTATTCGCATCTAAGAGTCTGAATTGCATCGCGCGATTATCTATGTAATCATTTTCTTTTGATCGAAAACATTTTCGATTGACTTTCCAAAATATTTTCTAAAATAGTAATTGCCAATAGTAGAATTTTGATATACCTGATGTCGACCTTACTGATTGAGTTCTTTTGATGGTCGCTGCCCTTGGGACTGTATAGGATGAAGCACCAGAAGGAGCTGTCATGCAAGCGAACAGTTAGCATATTCTCGTCATCGAAAGGTTAACATACGTTGACCTTTTGTTGGCGAGTTTCTCTGACAATGTATTGTTAACAAAATGCAAAAGTAAAACCGCATTGCGGTTAAAACTAAGTGTAAGTAAGGATTATGGCACATATTTTCCGCGTGCGCTTCATTTGCAGACCGGTGCTTCTGTGATATTTGAGTCAACATTGAGTCATGACATTCATATATATTTCGAATGAAAGACGAAGAGACACATCTCAGGGTAAGATACACGACACAATTGGTTACATAAAAAGCTTTTTGATTTATACGACATAAACTAGCACTGCTATCATTGTTTCAATATAATTTAAAAATATATCGATGTTTAATATTTACACTCTACCTAAATACGTTTAACAAGTTTTATAAATTAAAAATAACTCGTTCCACGAATATTAACATATACTACTTGAAATATTTGCATAAACAGCTACTAACGAAAAACGATTTTAGAGAAACTTGCTTTACTGTTACTTTTGCCATATATCATGCTTAAAAAAAAAGTAGATTTGTGATAAGTTGTAATAATAATTATAACATCACATGTGAGATAAAATTTGATAATATTTGAATATACCTAAGGCAGAGGATGGTGTTCTAGCAGGCCCAAATTGACCTCTTTTTGGGGGCATATTAAGCCTTTTAACAGGAGCCGATTTGATCTGCAATAGACGAGTAATTGTTTAAATGTTTATAAATAGAAATAACGTTTTTTTTCAAAACGTTATTTCTATTTATAAACATGCAATGGAGCTGATTTTTTGGATTCAATACTTACCGCTGCTCGATCAAGTTCGTCGGTATCTTTGCCAACTGAAAAAAAAAAAAAACAAAACAAACTGTCACAATCGCGACTTGGTATATCTTTCTTATTAATTCCGAAAATAAATTAGAAGATTTTGAAATTGCAGATTTTTTAAAAGAAGAAATAAAATATTTAGAATCAAAATGATCTACAGAAAATTGTATTTTATTATATTTTATAATTTAATTTAAATTTCAAATCAATATCATTATTTTGTTACAAAATGTAATGTAGACTTTCAGCACATGTTTGAAATAATTATTGACATCACTATTTAAAAAATATTTGTATCAATTAAAATTATAACCGCTTTATGTCGAGATGATTGTCCTTTCGTGCGGCAGAAATAATTCATATACCTAAATCTGGATACAACCAAGGCGGCTTGTGGATGTCGCAGTGACATCCTCTCGCCCTCGCACCCGGATGCTTCACTATATTATCCCATTGCAATATCCATCTACTGCTCGCATCCCACAATTTCTTATCGATACTGGGATACTTCTTTAATCCCCGACGTAGACAACGATGCCCGCTCGGTATTAACACGTCGGCGTCGTTCATCGTGATCGATGTATACGATATTTTAGCGAGTACAGCAAGGATAAATTCCTCCATATGTCGCAGTAGAATTATAACGACGTTGACATTTCGCCAGCGTCATCATCATCATCTTAATAAACCAGTTGCGAACGTTTCTTCGCCTCTATCTTCGATCGCACTATAATAATCTTTCTTTTTTCTCTTTCAGAAGACACTGTAAATATCAACCTTATATCGGAATAATATCGTCGTAATTAAATTAATAATTTGAAAATATTTACATTAAACAATTTAATAATTTGCGATATTCATTAATTTTGCCTAATTACGCGTTTTTTCAAAGATTTCGTAAACATTCTTCGACTTTTAATCAGAACAATGAGAGATAAATAATCAAAAATGAAATTTTTAGATGCTACGACGATATTTTTTCGAGGATGCGATAAAGAGCCAGTTTATTGCACGGAATTAGCCGATTTATCTGAACTGTTACGTAACCAGTAGCACAAGTACTCAAATTTATAACTCCTTCGAACTCATCAAGGAATTTCCGCTAATGAGTAGTGATCGGAAATCACGAAAGTGTAAAAGTCTCGATATATTGTGGGAAAACCGGCGTATATGCGAGCGATGTACACAGCAGTGAAAGTCTTCAATTGTTTTCTTTTCCTACCAGGCCGCTTCGCATCGAATTAATTTCCATATCCTAATTGGATTCCTGCGAGACTTGCCTTATTAATTTGCCGCTCCGCGCGAGTTACTCATTAGATCACCTAATCGAGCGCGTCAGATGCGCGGATTTCATTTCGCAGATTCATATAATATCCGTAATAGAAGACAATAACCCGATTTATAACGGCTTCACATGCTATAAATTTCTAACAGCCTTATTTATTTTTAACAGTTATAATTAGCGTCATTAATTTTAACTAGCTACAATTAAAATGTTTGCAAAATTACTTTATCGATTAAATCAATTTACATAGAACGCGAATTTATTTATTTCTTTCCCTAATATTACAATCTCGTAATTTTTCGAAGAATGCAATTCATCCAATTGAGAAATCGCGTCGTCGTGATATCAAAAAAACATCACTTAATAAACCATTCAGGGAAAAATGATTGGAATTATTGTGGCGTAAACTGGCAATTTGTGGCAAACGGTAAGCGGCACTTAGATCTATATTATATACTCTCTAGACTATCTCGTATTTCTTTGTCGGATTTCCAAATTGTCGGCGTAACAGTTCCTAATGTTTACTCTTGCCTTTCTCGCAAGCGTATTATCTACTTTCCGAGCATTCTTTGCGGTCATACGCACGCACGTACACGCTCTTGCATTAAGAAATTCTGTAATATCCAGGTGCGTGCATTTACTGCGGTAAAGACTCCTTCTCCCATGAGGCAAATGTATGCATCAAGAATTTGCCGTGTTACTCGAGGAGTTTTGCTTGCATTTAAACCATTAATAAACTTCAATTCCCATGTTAGTGTTACTACACTTAAAACCCAACAATGACAATTGTTCCGTCTTCTCGCAGTAATTAACGTTGTAATCTAAGGCCCATGGCACATATAAAAACATAAGAGCAGGAACAGAGATTCTTGCATAAGGCATAAAAGAATTAACCAGTTTTTTATTTCATTTCAAAAAGGAAGAAAATGAAGGACTTCTTGATTGAATCATTTTCTTATGTATTATGCAAGACTCTGTGCTGCTTCCGCTCTAAAGCTGCATCTACAATGTGATTTTGAAGCGTAAAATTTAAATTTTAAACGTCAAACCGTAAAAAGTTTAAATTGATCAATCATAGTCGATGATTCTCCTCACATTCGACTATGAATGATCGATTTCTTACGGATTGAGGCTTAAAAGCTTAAGTTATACGCCTTAAAATGTCATTGTGAACGTCGCTTTAGGCAATAAGACGTAAGCAGTAAGCAAATTGGTCAATCCAAAGTAGAGAACGTAAGATTTATTTATCTTACATTCTCTATGTGTTGTGATTGACCAATTCGCTTATTGTATATGTTTTATTGTCTACTGTTTTTCTGGATTAATTTTTCAAAATTTGTATTGGCGAAATGTTTACTTAGAAATTTAATTTATTATAATGAGTGTCATTAAGATACAACTGTAGGAAATCGAAGACGGTAACAATTCAGGCCGTGTGAAAGATAGATTGGACTTCTCCATGGAACCAGTTCAATGTTCTCAGACAACTTACGAACGCGAATTCATATACCTGGCATTACCGACAACGATCGATAGTCCAATAACAAAGCGAACTGTTATTACATACATTGCTAATAATAACACACACCGTTTCGGAATCGAGAATGCGATAGATATACTAATTCTTCAACTGTCGACCGACGATCGCGACCTATTTATTAATACCTTCAATACCAGCTTCGGTGTTCTCCGGTAACAATGAACGTGCATTCACACGCGCCACGTAACAAGATCGGTTAATAGGGAAAACCCATTTTCTCACGTTACAGATAGCATCGTCTCGCGAGCTTTTTGCTCTCGAGTTCCACCGTTCAAATGTCCCGAGTTGCCGACTGACTGTTGTGTCGGGAAGTTTCGAAACCGACAGATATTTGTTCTGACAATCTAGTTTCGAATAAATTTAACGAGAAATGTACGGACGCGTATAGTCAATTGATGATACAGAAATATCTATCTTATAATTATGTCCATTTTTATCAATGTAGTTTAATTTTAATCTTGATTCAACTAATTCTTCGTCTTTTTCCTGTTCTAGAAATTAAAAAAAAAGATGAAGAGCAAGAAGAACCGAGATTAAAGTTAATTTATATTAATAGAAATGGACATTAGACGTGGACGTTAAAGCAAAGAAAAAGACTATTAACGACTAAAGATCATGGCAAAAAAATTAAATAAAACGTAAGCAATAAACGAATTGGTGAATCACACAACAATCATTTAAGTCTTTTATGACAAGTTATTAATTATTTGTCTTATCCTACATCTAAGACAAACTTAAGTACGCACGTTCTCGTTTAAAAGAATATGTCCGAAATTATTGAAAAACAAAAGGAAATAATTAATTACCGATTTATCGAGGGAACGAAAGTTGCAGAAATAAACTAAACTCAAACGACGCGATACGTAAGTCCACTTGCAGTAAAACTCCAACTTTACGTGGAGAAACAAACTGTATGTTTACGAATAACAAACATTTAAATGAGATCACGCTCAAAGAGATTTATGTAAAGCTATGTTCTCACACTGAAGCATCAACGAGAAACTTTTTGTTCAATGTTTCTTGAAAAAGTTGTCGAAAGTTTCATGACGTTTCTTAATATTTCTGCCAGAGATAAAAGTTGCTGTTTCCAATCGAAAGAAAATGTTCTTGGAATTTGAAAACATTCACCGATAATTCAGTAAGCAATAAAAAGTTTCTCGTTGCTCCTGTGAAAACAACTTTGGAGTGTTTTCCAACAAAAGATAAAAAAGTGCATATGCCCACAGGACATAGTATATATAAGTGTACAATACAGTGAATCATTACATCCGTTTGTCAATGTTAAATAAAGATGAAATAATCGCTATGTTATATTGTATCTTTTCCTTATGATTACAAGTTATATTCTTTTACATTGATTCTCAAGTCATCTATACTGATTATTTTTCAAATAAATATTTTTCTAATTGCCTTTAAATACAGATTAAAAAATTCTTCTCTGCAATTAAAGTATAAATATAATCAAACTCGATCGATACAAAAAAAAAAAAAAGTTGGAAAATTACAGTTTTATTATCGATTTCTACATTGACATGAACAATATTTGCTTTATATACAAGTTTTATACTTTATACATATAAGACAATCTTGGTTTAGACTAAAAATTATAATTGTATAAATTATGATTATATAAACAATGTTGTGTTCTTAGACTTGGATATCTAATATAAAAGACTTAATTAGTCAGAAAATTTGTACGTATGTGTGCGCGATATTGATATAATAGCGTATAGTGTTATGTCAATGACACATAAATCGTGTGTGTAAATCCTACCAAATCGATAATACAGACGGCTTTAATATCCTCATAAGAATACTACTCTTTTAATAAAATGAATAAAACTTCTAGTCACTAATTAAAACTTCATATTTATAAAATCATATATCAAGAATCAATAAAAATTATTTTCAAAAATTCTGATCATATCAATCAGATTCTAGTCGAAATAATCATCAGATCAATTGTGACGACCAGAAATCTGATACCACCAGAATCTTCCGATTGATTTATTTTTAATCAGAAATTTTTCTTAGAGTACTCTTGCTGGAAAGCACTGTTAGATTATAGGCAATTTTCAGCCTGACTGAATGTCCACTCGATTTTCATCTCGAGGACATAAGTCCATTAGTATCTTTTTTTTCGGAACGGAAGAGGGCAAAATGATGGACAATTTGGTGGTTTACTTCAT